CCATATATTTCAATGTGGGTGTTGACTTGGATTTGGTGTCACGCAATATTGCTGTTCACCAATATTATTTTGTATTGTGCCTACTGAATCCATGGTGTCATCAATTTCCATTTCTCTCTCAATTCACCAATTTCTCTCCACTGTTTACATTTCTGGTATTTGTCCTGTAGGACTGGGAGGTGATCTTTGATAACACCAAAATCCTGGATGGGAGTGTTGCATTGAGTCAGCAAAACATGGGCTGCATGATCATCACACAGCTAACCACAGCTGTTTTTGTTGTCATGCTTAGCCATTCTGATGGCCAGTTCTGCCTGGCCTTTGCTTTGTGGGTAGTCAGCCAATGAAGTACGTGTCCATATTCCTCAATTCTTAAGTTATAAGTAATATTCTTGGTTATCAAAAGGTGGTCCTCCATCGAAAGAAAGTTCTTCAGGTGCACCATATGTGTAGAACCAAGTTCTCAGGGTGTCACATACTGTCCTGGCCATCCCAGTTGACATAAGGGCCACTTCCACCCAACTAGTATTCTGATCTGCATATATAACATAATTTCTAACATGTAAGTTGAAAGATTCAATCATGGTTTGCTGGAATGGGAATTTAAAGGCTGTGACGGGGTGATAGAATTACATACCTGGTATTGGGCTCTGGTCTGTCAGATGCTGGCATCCAAGCCAGGCCAAAATAGACATTGTCTCACATTTGCTAGCATGCCATTTACACCCTGGTGTGCAGAATGTAGGGATTCAAGTACTTCTGCACAAAGTTGTTGAGGTATAAGGATTTTGTTCTCCTTTGACGCAGTACAATTCCAATCAAAATCAAGAGATAACTGACAGGAGGTTATGGCATGATTTGGGGAAAACAGTCCATATATATTCCATCAGAGTCTGACATTTTTTATCAATGGCTGCTGTGGCAACAATCCTATCCAATGCAATAGACCTCAATCTAGGGTCATGCGGACATGAATACAGTCTTGATTGCACTGTCGATTGGTTTGACTGCATCAGTTGTAGTTGCCTCGTAGGATGAATGTCTACACTTCTGTTATATATGAGCAGATAATATTTGGGGACATTCTGTTGAGTCCTCTGATGGGATCCATGGTGGATACTGTGAGGCACAGATGGATGCAACATTAAGTTTTCCAGGGAGATGTTTAATACTGAATTTGTACATTAATGTGCATTCCTTGAAATTAAAGAGTTGTGGGTTCTTTATATTCTCAAGGGCTTGATCCGAGAAAATTTTTAATGAGTGGTTGATGAGTCACTAGCAAATCTGGGCATCCCAATATAAACATCCAACATGTTTCTAGCCCATAGACAAGAGCCAGGGCTTCACCTTCGATGATAGCAGGATTTTGTGTTGTTGGTAAAGTGAGATCCAACTAAAATAATTTTTCATTGAACATCACCACAATTTGGGCTCACTTCACCAAAGCAATTACAGTGTTTTTGAAAAAGAAAGTAACTGGTTCCTGTTTTACTGTAATCTGTTGAAAGGCATGTCATTTTATTGATCTCAAATGTCTTGATTCCATCCTCAATTTTTCTGCATGATTACTTACTTTGACTCCTCAAAAAGTTGGTCAAGTGTTTTGTCGTAACAAAATTTTTTGTTCTTTGAGCACAGTAATTCCCGGAAGGTTGCTATCACCTTAGCTTGTGAGAATACATGAGATATCTGATTCACCAGTCCAAATCAGGGCGTGATGCCTACGATATCTGTAGGCATAGGAAAGTGAAGGGTGGTCACAGTCATTTTCTTTGTTGGTTTCACATCATCAGCTGCTATTAAGAACCCAGAAAATTCCACCTCATTCTCTGCAAAATGGAATTTGTCAGGGTTAAAACATAATCCCATTCTTTCCACAGTGGGCTATATATTCCACTGTGTGCCAGAACAAATGAGGATGGTGTGTTATGGGCTCCCCTCATGAAGGCAGTATTCAGTTCTTGTAAGTCCACTGTGCTTCTGGGGGAACCATCTATTTTGGGTGTGACTATCATCCTTGCCCACTGGCACTGGTTCAGTTATACTCAATGTGATGTCTCGATCGAGGTCTTGTTTCACTCTCTTCTTTCAATGGTGAGATATAGGGATGGGTGTGTGGATGAAGATAATGTCCACTGGCTTTCCTGTCATGGTCTGTAAGGGTTGGTGTGGGCATGTATTAAATGCACTGAACTTGAAATGGTCACATATTCATCATTCCAGTTGGTGTCTGTTGGTTTCCATTGGAAGGAATGGGATGGTAGTAGGCATCGCTTGAATGGGTTTTCTGCATGGGCATGTGCATGTGCATGTACACAAGGCATTTTCCTTTATGCCCATGATATCGGGGCTGAGAAATCAGGTGGCAACATGTAGGTCATTCACGGCAGATTCTGATAAGTAAAAACCAGACGTGTTGTTTCACACATACCCCACCTGTCGTGTCTCACTCAAACCAATTCTTATATGCATGAATAACACACCTTTTATTAAGTAGGCTGTTTGTAATGCTACATATTTGATAACTAGTTGGCATGAGGTATTCATCTGAGCACTTGAGTAGTTTTAATATCTCTGGTCCACTTGAACAAGTTTAAGCCCCTGTATTGGTGAACATGAGGATGCAGTGACTAACATGGCTAATTGGACCAGTCTAGGTTCATCCAAATGAAGTGTGAGTTTGATGCATTATACTCTCTTCTATTGTCAGTAAAGGCAGTGGATCTGGGACACCACCTTTAAATTGTTTTCCATTGCATGCAAGATGAGAAATAATACCAGGCAGTATCAAACTAGTTTTACAGCTCTATTTTGATCTGCCAGCATAGTGGATGGCACAGGTAGGAGGAACTTTCTGACTAATGTTGGAGAAAGTGAATGAATAATGCCCTGTCTTGAACCTTGATCTGTTTGTGGTTCCAATTTCAATTTTAATAGATTTCTGGCATACCCTTTTTACATGACTCCCAATCTTTCAATTATGGTATACCAGTTTAGCTGCTGGGCAATCTCTCCTACTAATTGATCCACTTGTGTGGAATGTCTTCCTACAAGCCACACAAGGATTCTTATTGGATGAAGAAGTGGGTACATTAATTTGTCAAGGTTTTTGAAACACATGACGTTTGTGATCAGATATCTTTAGATAGGATGAGCTTGACAGGCTAACATCATTTAGTAACCAAAACTTTACTGTGGAGTTCATTGTTAGCAAGTTTTGCATTCATCTGCCCAGTTATCATGTTGCACAAGTAGTTGACTTGCTGACCACAGCCTTCTGTGTTAGGGCAATCAATTGTGAATGAGAAAAACTTGGCTTGAGCTTGTAGCCTTGCTAAAAAATGAGTGATTGACTCACCTTCCACCTGACGTGTGGAATGAAAGGTCTGCTGGTGAACTTCCTTGCAAGAATCAGATGTGTGACAAAAGCCTTTCCTCCATAGCCAGATTTAAGGTTTCAGCCTCTGTAAGGTCAAAAAGGAGCCTGTTGACTTTGGGCAAGCATGTTGTTCTCAATTCATTGCTTATTTCAACTGGGTTGTTAAGTTTACCCATCTCCTTATACTGAGTTCAAGTGTCAAGGAATAATGCCCAGTCATTGTTTGTTGTGTTGGCTTCAATGACAGGACAGTCTGTTTTTTGTGTGCTGTACATTTGTGTTGTGTTAGGTGTTCCGTCTCTCTGAAGTGTGATAGCTTTGTAGCTATCATTTGTTGCATGAGTTGATCAATCAAATTGAGTGTTCTGCCTGGTGCAGATGCCATATTCTATTTTATTAAGATAGTGTTCACCAGATCCTTTTCAAAATGCCATGTAAAATAACCACAATGGCAATGGTAGTAGTAATTCTCAATTACTTTATTCTTGTACCAACAAGATACAAATACAAAAATACACTTGGCCTCTGGCCACTCAGCTGCTTATATGACACTGGATGAGGTAACTTATGTCTACCTGTGGAATTCCCCTATTATTTAATGAAACCTTCCATTTCTACTCTACAGAAAGAAAGAATGACAAAGAAAGTAAAAATAAAACAAAAGAAAAAATTGCACAAAAATTAATAAAGAAAGAAAGAACATGAAAGAAAGAAAGAAAAAATGGCAAAGTAAAAAAGAAACAAAAAAGTAATGAATAAGAAAATAAAAAAGAAAGAAAGAAAAGGTGAAAAAGAAATAGAATATAACAGGAAAAAGATGTAATAAAATATGAATATGAAAATAAAATCAATTTTTAAAAAGGCCATAAAAAATAAGTAAAATTGAATAATGATATTGAATTGAATATTTGAAATTGATGAACAAATAAAAAAAGAATTAAATTAGACATGAAGAATAAAAAAGTAGGAATGAAAATTAGAAAGAAAAAGAAATAAAGTGCAGAAAAAAGTAGAAAGATAGAAAGAAAAAAACACAGAAAGTGAAAAAAGAGAGTGAGTGAATGAGAGAGAGAGAGAGAGAGGAAGGAAAGAAACAAAGGAAGAAACAGATTAAGAATTAATGAATTAATGATTGAAAACAAGAAAGAAAGAAAACAATTTAAAAACACAGAAAGAGAAAATAATGTTATATAAAGAGAGAAAGAAAGAAAAAAGAATAGGGAATATCAAAAATAAAAGAAACAGAATCAAAATTTTTAAAATTCCAGTATCTTTAAAATTCTGAAATATTTGGAGTGGAATTTTAATGTGAACACACACACTGAGTGTGTTTGTGTGTTTGAGGCAAAATAGTTACCTGGTGTTTTGGAATAATCACAGGTGTTTTGGGATTCATTATTAATGAATAACAGTAGTAAACAGTTGAGAAAGAAAAATATAAGAAAAAAAATGCTTAAAGGATTTTTTTGTTTTTTTTAATTATGGTAATAAATAGAATTAAATATGGAAACTCATGGGAAACAAGACAAAAATTTCGATAAATTACACCAGAAATAAAATGTGACCTTTGAGAGAAGAAAGAAAGAAGTGAGAAATATAGTTCATGGAAATAAAATGGTTAGACATACATGCATGTAGATAGATAGATAATGTACAGACTGAGATAAATAGATAGATATGAACAGACTAAGATAGATAGATAGATAGATAGATAATGAACAGATAGGTAGATAAATAGATAATGAATATACTGAGATAGATAAATAGAGAGATAGATAATGAACCGACTGAGATAGATGAATAGAGAAATAATTAACAGACTGAGATAGATAATGAACAGACTTAGTTGCATAGATAGATAATGAACAGACTTAGATAAATAGATAGATAATGAACAAACTGAAATAGATACATACATAATGAAAATACTGAGATAGATAATGAGCAAGCTTAGATAATGAACAGACATAGGTAGATAGTTAATGAACAGATGTAGATATTTAAATAAGTAATGAACAGACTGAGATAGGTAGTTAAATAATGAACACTGAACAGGTTGAGATAGATATGAACAGAGTGGGATAGATAGATTAATAGATATGAACAGACTAAGATAAACCGATTAATAGGTAGATATATAGATAGATATGAATAGACTGAAATGGATAGATTTATAGATAAGATATATAGACAGATTTGGCTTTTGATTTATTAATTCCCTGCTTTCAACAAAATTTCAGCTCGTTTATGTGGACACTAAATCCCATTTTTATAAAAAAGCTAAATATACCCACTGGTAATTTCAGGGTCTCATTTTATAAAATCCATTTCATAAGATTATTATATTATATAAAGAGGTATAACGATAAAAAAGACACAAAAATTGATGCAGAAGAGAAACGGTTAGTGAACAAAAATGAATCCAGTCTGAAAAACAGAGAAAGGACAAGCAAAATGGAAAATGCTTGACATTTAAAATGTGCCTTGTGTTCATTCCCCTAACCTTCCGCTTGGTCTCTCCTGATTATAGTATGTCTTTTACCTTCTCTTTCTTCTTAATGTTATTGCTTTTTACACTTATTTTTCTGCCTCCTCCTCATCCTCCCTGATACAAACTATTCTTCATATTCCTTCTGTTGTTTAATGTATGCCTTAGTAAGGTTTGTTGTCTCTTTCTCTTCACTCAGCAACTTGATCGATCTGGGCCAGCTCCGTAATTGGATTTGTCTTCTTGTTCTGCGATAGAATTAATGTCTCCAACAAGAATAACTAAGATTCATGGAGGAAAAGCTATATTACGTAGCAAGTAGGAAGGCAGACAGTCACAGACCGAGAGGGTCGGAAGGAAAAGAAATAAAGATGCCAATGATTATAGCTACAGGAAGAGTGTGCTTGTTAATTAAGTCTATTTTATTTTTTTCCTAGAACAGTTTGAAAAGAAAACGTAAAGAAAAAAGTAAAGGAATAAGAAAGGTAGATAAAGAAAGAAAGTAAATCTTTAGAGAGAAAAGAAGGATGAGATAAAGTGGAAGAGGTGGGGGGAAAATTAAATTGGAAAGTAAGGGAAAAATAAGAATCTATTGTCACAAGAAAAGAAGAATAGGAGAAAAAGACAACATGAGAAAAAGGAAAGAGAATAAAAATGGAGATTCATAGTGGAAAAGGAGTAAAGAGAAAAAGTAAAAAGAAAGAAGATTTGAGAACAAAGAAAAGGAAATAAATAAAATCAGTAAAAACCAAAAAGAAGAAAATGGATGGAAAAAGAAAAGAGAAAAAAACAGTGTAAAAAAACATGGAGCAGGAATGGAAAATGAAGAAAAAACAAGAAAGGATAATAGGAAATAGGTTGGAAAAAGAAGGAAAGCAATACAGAATCCTAACAGAAAAATAAAAGAAAAAAAATGAAAACTGAATGGCTTGAGAATAAGTTTTAAGAAAATGAAAAAGATATGAAAAATACAGAATAAATGTTAGATACAGAATCTTAAAGTAATGACAGCTAAAAACACACATAAAGGTAAAAAAAAACAGCCTACATTGTGGCTGAGGTAGTTGTCCATTTGTCATTATGAACAGTGGCCACTGCTTAAGGTCAAGTAAAAATCTAGGATTTTAAATGCAGCAAGCCATTCAAATTTAGAGAACTGACACAACATAATCTTCCTACGTGCACTTCTGCTTGACTTTGTGTTGCACTTATCTGAGTTTGATAAATATCAAGTATAGAAAAAACAAAGGAGAGGAAGAAGAAAAGAAGAGGAAAGAAAAACAGAAAAGAAAGAAAGAAATGAAAGGAAAGAAAAGAGAAAAATGAGAGTAAAAAAGAGCAATTAGAGAAGGAAGAAAAGAGAAAGAAAAATAAAAGAGAAAAATCAAAGGAGAGAGAAAAGAGCACTAAGAGAAGAAAGAAAATATAAATGGAAAGAGAAAAATAATGAGAAAAGAGAAAGAAAAATAAAAGAGAAAAATCAAAGGAGAGAGAAAAGAGCACTAAGAGAAGAAAGAAAATATAAATGGAAAGAGAAAAATAATGATAAAAGAAAAATGAGAAATAAAAAGGAGAGAGAAGAAAGATTTACAAAAGAAAAAAGAAATGGAAGAAGAGGAGATGGAAATGAGTGAATAACAAAAAGAGAGAAAAGAGAACTAAAAGAAGAGAAAGAGGCAAAGAAGTGAGCAGTGAGAAAAGTATAAGGAAGAATGTCGTAAGGAAAGAGGAAAAAGAAAAAGAGAACTGTAAGAAAAGGAAAGAAAAGAAGAAAGAAATAAGGGAAGAGGAAATATATGATATATATGAAAAAAATGATGAAACACTGGAATTAAGAAATTGCAAAAGAAAGAAAAATAAAGGATAAAAGATTCAAAGAAAGAAACAAACAAAAAAAATGAAAGAAAGAAAAGATGAAAGAAATAAGAAGAATGGAAATGGGATAAGAATCAGTTGCAGATGTGATGGGTGAAGATAATTGGTAAAAATCATGAAGGGCTGACTCATCTTCCATTCTTTGAAAAGGGTTGGTGTTTTTCACTGCAGCCAACTTGCATATAATACGAGCCATCATGTTGATCTTTGCAGGTATCTTAAAGCTGAAAAATTTAGGGATTTTTGGGTGCACACTGACTTCTTTTTCAGCATAGACATACCCAGGGCACATTTGTTTGTTTGTTTGTGTGTGTGTGTGTGTGTGCAGATGTGTGTGTGTGTGTGTAATGCATTTATGCAAGTTTTTAAATTAATAAGATAAATACATACAGATAAATTCACGTAACTTAATATAAAAAATTTAGACAAATTAATATAGAAAATAATACATGGATTAATATAGATAATGAAGAACAAATAGTATCAATAAATTATTGTTGTCAATTAAGAAATTAATATAGATAAAATATAAACAAATGGAGATGGACAATTTATAGATAAATTAATAAAGTTATATATATATGGGAAAACAGTATATAATATTTTTATATATCAAGAACAATTTTATTGGAAAGAAGCATGACAAAGTGAAAAAACATTTTATGTTATGCATTTTATCCTTTAAGATTTCATCATACTAAATTTAGTTTTGCCCTTTAGTCTGATGAAGTCCTAAATGATGAAATACATCATAAAAAACCTTTTTCCACTTTCTCATTCTTCTTTCTCCTAATATATATAAATATAAATATATATATATATATATATATATATATGTGTGTGTGTGTAAAAAATATATATATATAAGTAAAAATGTTGCTAGGTTTCAAAATTTTTAAATATGTGAATGCTTATAAAAATACTATTTACATTATTCGGACTATTATCCTCATCTTTGTCACCATATTTATTACAACGTTTCGGCTGCTGTATGCTCCAGCCTTCTTCAGGTGGTTGGAATGTCAAACTGAAACCTTTATTTTGCTCACTGGGGTAGACTGTTCTAGTTCCATGTGCCATGTTTAATGGATGTCAGTTATCAGTTATCTCCTGTTAATTCTCCTCTGCAAGTTCTCCACTGCTTTATCTGGGTATTGAACTCACACTCTTTGGGTCCTGTCACTGGATCTAACCAACATCTTTATCCACTGTGCCATGTGTCCTTGAGAATTAACAGGAGATAACTGATAACTGACATCCATTAGACATGGCATGTGACACTACAACAGTCTACCCCAGTGAGTGAAATAAAGGGTTCACTTCAACATTCCACTTGAAGAAGGATGGAGCGTACAGCGGCCGAAATGTAGTAATAAATATGGCAACAAAGATGAGGACAATAGTCCGAATAATGTAAATAGTGTACATAATACCTTATCTCAGAAATATAGACAGATGCTTATAAAAATCTTTGAGTTTTATAGTCAGCTTAAAGAATATCTATGAGCATTCTTAAATTTAAAAAGTTTGAAAATATATATTTGATAAAAAATATAGTTTTATAGTATGCTATATTTATGGGTATAAATAGCAGATATAGAGCATATGTAAATGTCAGAAGGTCTGAAGATTGTATCCAAGCATGAAAATGACTGTGACTGCTTAGTGTTGGCTACAGTATCTACTTTTATACACACACACACACACACACACATAGACAGATATATAGATATAGATACAGAAATGATCTAAATAAAGAGATACAATCAACCATATATGTGAGCAATTATGTACACATACAGGTGAGCATATAACTATTTATTTAATCAATGGTGTAGACAAAACATTGCTCAATGTAGTAAAACAAAGCTATAAAATATATATTAATAATTACACATATATCTATGTATACAGTACAACTCAGCCAATTATCAGGTACAAAAAGTTACAAACAGTTCAATACAGTTGTTTTTTTAAATTTCTGGGTTTCATGGGAGCAATGCTACATGATGTGTAGATTCAAATTTCAAGATTATTATAAATATAATATAGTATTGGGGTATAAATTCAAAATATAGTGTGTTGGTAGGTTGATATCCACCTACCAATATTCTATATTTTGAATTTTGAAAGCTATGTAACTTTGAGTCGTACGGCATACGTAGATATATGTGTAATTATTGATATATATATATGTGTGTGTGTGTGTGTGTGTGTGTGTGTGTATGAGAGGGTTGGGCTGAGAACTTTTCAGCCCCCTTCATAGATTTATGCATAATGGTATACAACTGATATTTTTTAATTTCTTCTCACTCATTTATCTTTATATATACATTTTTTATATAAAAATATCCATTTTTATAGATGTTGTATATTTTGGCAACCACCTTTCTTTTTATTCATTGAATATGAAAGACAAGGAAAATTTTATAAGATTTTATATAAGTTTCTTTTCTTATAAGTTTTTCTAACATTCTCACAGTTTTCCTTTTATGTGAACTGAAAGTGTATAGAATAATATATATATACATACAGAGTATAATGGATAAGCTGTTGTCTAAATTATGTAAAATGAAAATAATACTGACATCTCATTTTAACAGATATATTTACCAAAATTACACAAAAATATCTAAAGAGTAAATTTATTCAATATAATCACCATTGATTTCAACCACAGTCTCCAGACAACTTTGTAATCTTCTGCACCCTCTTCTGGATGATCTCCTTATATAAGTTGGCGAATGCTGCCTTAATCCTTGCCTTCAGTTCATCTTTGGTGTCACAAAGAGTTTTGTTGGTCTCTCGCTCAACTGTGCCCCACACATAATAATCAAGAGACCTGCAGTCTGCGGAGTTAGGGGGCCAGGTGTAAGGGGGGATGTGATTGCAGAAATTGTCAGACAGACATGACTTGGTTCTTCTACTTGTGTGGCATGGTGCAGAATCCTTCCAACAGCCACCCTCTTGACCCAGGACAGAACTACATTCTCAAGGCACTTGTTGTAGGCCTCTGTGTTGAGTCTGAGGCCCTCACCAACAAATTCTGGAGTTCATTTTTATCAAAATGGTCAGAGTGAGTTTTACAAGCTACCGTATGTGTGTAATCACCATTAGACTCATCTAACTCTTTCTGAATCCTCTTCACTGTCCTCAGATTGACACCCAACCACTCTGAAATGTGCATATTGGAGCTTCTGGTGCAAATTCCAAGCAGTGCAGCATGCTGTTTCCAAATTTCTGGCAGAGTGAATTGCGTCATGGTGCTCTTTTTCTTGCAGATTGTGCCCAGCTGACCTTACTATACTCCATATTATTCTGTTTGCAAAATTTCTGATGAAGCTAATTAGTGAAACATTAAATTTATAAAGATTTTCTTATTTAATCATTCTCAAAAATATATTTCATATTTTTGCATTGATCTTTTTATCTATCTATCTATATATATTTAACATGCCTTCACTGTTTTTTGAACAGGAGTAAAAATTTATCCTTTTTTTTTATTACTAGTTCCTTCTCCTAATGTCTTCTCATTTTCTATCACCAAATTTTCTTTGATTTTCACAGATTAAAATGTTGGTTTCACCCCCTGTAATCCCTTGCATCTTAGTGCATTATCACCTTGCTTGGGGTGAAGTGATTAACATATATATATATATATATATATATATATATCAATTATTTATTAAAAAATTATAACATAAATATGTTATAAAATCACTACAAAAATAGCCATTTTGTTTCAACACTTCTGGTGTCTTATCAAGTGATTATGTTGAATGTAGAATAAAGGGTTTTAAAAGGTTCAAATCAATCAAACACCCCTCGTTAAGGGGAAACACTGTTACATAAGCTGAAATGACCAATCAAAATACAAGTATACGAGAATTCAAAAAACTTGACAATGAACTAAGGTTATAATAATTTATTTAATGCTTTAATGTTGGGGTTAGACTAAAATAGAATTTATTCTAATTAATAAATATTAAATTATACGATAAAATTTGAAATTAAAAATTACCCATTTTAAAATTTAAATTTAATCTATATTAAGTTTAAAATTATAAAATTACTGAGGAAAAATGAAAAAAATACATGTTATTCTATTTATTTTGCTTTTATTGAAATTAAGTTGGAATAAATGTTAAGATCAAATGTTGCTCTGAACTTCATGACAACATAGATACATTTGAATCATAAACAGAGGCAGGGGAGTATGACATCTTGCAAATGACAATACATACACAATCAGATTATAATACATAAGCACGCAGATGTATTTAGATATATACACACAAAAAGGTGACGAGACAGGATATATTCCTGCGACCCTTAAAAAAAAAAACACACATAAATACACAGTGAAAGGTACGCACAATATATATGTGAAGAATGTAAAAATAGAACAAATGTCACCTGCATTAGAATTTCATCCTTGTGGAAATAAAAGGTAAGATATATTTTCCTAGGCTTAGAAAAATCTGATTTCAAGCTGACCACTCTGCACATTGGTTAGATTAACTAGTCTTTTACCCATGCATACCAATCCCTTGAGTTGGGGGAGATATTAATCCCATTGATCTGGATTTAATGATCCCTGTGTATGTCCCTCCTCATTTGCTACAGCAACACAAACCACCGCATTTAAGTCCATCTGTTTCAAAAATGCATTGAATTTTCTGTATTTCATTTGAGTAATTTAAACAGAGCATAATTTTCATTCCAAGGATAACAGTATTTAATATATTTGTAACATTATATTGATAATGTCTGCTAAGAATATGAGATTACATTTTTCATACATAAACAATTGTTTATTGACTTTTGGACACCATCAAATTGATGTTGGCCATGGACGGTATATGGTCTTCAGAGACATTCTTTAAACATTTTCTCTTCTTATGAAGAGGTAATGGATTCTGCCTTCTCCCTCATTTTGTCAGGCATTTATATAACTTCCCTTCTTCCAGTTGTCTCATGTGTGTCTATCCTAAGTGCAGCTGAGTTGACTTCCTGTTTGTGCTGGTTTAACCATCAACATCTTTTGAGGCCCAATTCTGTACTTTATGGCTATGAAGTCACCATCTAGGTCACCTCTCTGAGCCACACAGCCCTTTTGAGATTCTGATGTA